AACATAGTGAAACGAATCTCTGTTCTCTGTTCTCTAGATGAGTTGAACTATGTTCAACGAATCTCTCATTCCTGAGGCTTCCGTGAAAGGTTTTGATTCGAGGCTTTTTCCTAGCCTGACTGGAAGGCAATGAGAAAGCGTCCGTTCACGTCAGGAGGCTTTGACTTTCATCGAGATTGGCCTGGTGTGAAGTGTACCGGCCCAATAGAAAGGAACGAGGGGAAGAATCGATAAGACAATAGAAGGGGAAGACCAATGTATACATTTCAATTGGGGGCTCGCCCCCATGGCTTTTGTATTGGGGCTTTGTCCACTATTCGTTCCCCAGTGAATGAAAAAGCGTGAGGAGAATTCTAAACTCGAGATGTTAGAAGGTGCGAAATCAATGGGTGCCGGAGCTGCTACAATTGCTTCAGCGGGAGCTGCTGTCGGTATTGGAAACGTCCTTAGTTCCTCGATTCATTCTGTGGCGCGAAATCCATCATTGGCTAAACAATTATTTGGTTATGCCATTTTGGGCTTTGCTCTAACCGAAGCTATTGCATTGTTTGCCCTAATGATGGCCTTTTTGATCTCATTCGTATTCCGATCGAAAATGAAAAGGAGGCTAGTCCCCGAAAATGCCCGTTCTCAAAGTTGGGGTTCATAATCTGACTTCGTAACAAGGTGGCCGTAGGGGCTTATAGTTTAATTGGTTGAAACGTACCGCTCATAACGGTGATATTGTAGGTTCGAGCCCTACTAAGCCTACCTTTTCACCTTATGTTCAACTCATTCGAAAGAGGATAAACCATAGTATAGGTACGTAGTGACTCGAAGATTCGTTTCAAATGAGTTGCTAGAGAACAGAGATTCGTTTCACATAGTGAAACTCATTTCGTTGAACTATGTTCAACTCATTCAGAGGATTCACTCTTTATAAAAGACTCCAACACGGAATAATCAGACGAGTTAAATTCCACGCTGGAAGCATCCCAACTTGACGGTTCAGACCTGTTCCCTGCTCTACTTCTGCAAAAGATCCTGCGGAAAACCACTAAGCTTTCTCTTCTCCAAGTTGCTCCTATATATGGCTTAGTCTGCTGCTTCAAGCTCGGATATTTATAAGTCCGTTAAGGGACCAGGATTTGCTGGTTCGAGTTGGTCCAGTTAGTCCTGAAAAAACGGATGCAAATGCTTTTGGATGGTCAGTTTAGGCGTCTCCGAAAGGATCAAGGTTTTGGAAGAAATAAACAAGTCAAGAGGTACGTAGTGAACGTAGTCGCTATAGGTACGAAGTCACTAGAGAACAGAGATTCGTTTCACTATGTTACCTATGTTTCGTTGAACATAGTTCAACACTATGTGAAACAACGAACAACGAATCGTTTCAAATGAGTTGAACGTAGTTAGAAAACTCATTTAGTTCAACGAAATGAGTTTCACATAGTGAAACGAATCTCTGTTCTCTGTCAACGAATAGTTTCAAATGAGTTGAACTATGTTCAACGAATCGACGTTGNCCTTAGCAAAGCGAGCATTCTGCTACCTTCTTGTCGGCGATAACAATGTAATCACCCAGTTTGTAAGGGTATACCTCGTCCGCAGCTAACTACACCAGAAAATGATGGGATAGTGCGAACAGGCAAAAACCCAAAGGTTGTCCAGACCTCAATCTGACAAACTGTTCTGATCAAGTAGGGGCAAGTAATACATTACTGTAGAGCCAAAAGTAAATCCAAGCATGAGCCGCCTCTTTATTGAACAGCATATCAATGAGAAGTTTCTGTACTGAAAGGATAAGTAGTAGAAGAAGAGAAGAGATCTTTCTTTCGACCAGGCCTTAACTTCCCATCCATTGGTATACCCCTCCTACAGCGGACATAGACCCATCCAGGCGCCTACGGATTCTATCTTATTTCTTATTTTAAGAGAAGCTATTGAACTTGACGAACGAATAGGCTTTCTAAAAATGACTTTACTGATAGGGCTTTCAAGCCTACGTTTGCCGGAATGAGTTTCACTATCTCCTCTCTAGCCACTTCGTACCTATTCCCTTCTCTCTTGAACATTTACTCGTTTTCAATTTGTCGAGATTGGCTTGGTGTTGCCTTGTTTCTATCAACAAGTCACCGAAAAGCGTATGTGAACAAAAGCAAAAAGTACGAAGTACGAGAAAGGGGCAAGCCAAAGCTCCTCTGTGATGTGGAACGTAAGTGTTCTAAACTATATTCTTATGTTATGCAAAGTTATGAAAAATCCTCGTTTGGCGAAATGGTTTTACCTTTCGAAGGCGGGAAGCCGCACCATCTCGTCTTTATTGATCAAGATGGGCTAGCCTTGGCCGTTGCATGGTCTATGAAATTCTTCATTTGTAACATGATGGTGGACTGATTTATTTGGAAGCAGTTCCCCTTCTCCCAACCCTGGTGAACCTATTGCTTCCGTTACAGGAGGAAGGCGTCGGGAGCTCGGTGATCGTCTGAGCATCAATACTATTGGGCGTCCCTTGCCCGAAGATCTTTTTGAGTCAATTATTGACACCCAGGAGCTTCAAATAGAGAACCAGGTATTCCATATTTATATACTATGCCTTTTTAGGAGATCGTTCGTGTACAACAACCTTAACCGCACAAGCCTGGGCTGGGCCTACCTGGGGATACGAACTATATCCGAAGGAAGATACGTCTTAGGTATTTCACTATGTTCAACTCATTACGTATTCTTATTTGACTTGACTATACGTATTATGCGTATCTAATATCTAAGTATCTAAGTTAGACTCATCGTCTAGTTCGTATTCCATCCCTAGAGGAGCCGTATGAGGCGGAAGCTCCACGTACGGTTTTGAAGCCGAGCCTTTCCAGCAATGGGGCCTAGGGACCGATATGATGATTGGTTTAGGTAGGGCGGCCGGCCTACTACGGGCACCTGTAGGGATTAGTGTGTGAGACCGCGATCCACAAACTGACGCATGGGACTCACCCTTTACTGGGGAATATAGAGGGGAAACATAGCATGTCACAAGAGCGAGGCGAGGTTTGGAACCCTACTGCGAGAGGTTCTAACAGAATGAGTTTCACTATTCGTCTAACTACGTTCAACTCATTACAACGAGATTAGCTTGAGATTCGTTGAAAACTATGTGAAACGAATCTGTTGTTCGTCGACCAAAGGGAGTCGCTCGAAGAGGTACGCCCAAAGGGAGTCGCTCGAAGAGG